GGGCAATACTGATATTGTAGCTTTGAGTACTGGGCAATACTGATATTGCCCTGATACGGTATTAGCATTAATCATACATACTAATTAATTATTTTACTGTGTGGAATGATAGACAAGCCTTGATCAAGTGATTTTTCTCTGAGAAAAATATGTTTTTATTTTAAGGTTTCGGAAAAAATGTCTAGATTTAGCTCTTGGCTAAGGCTAGATCAATCTAAGTCATACTTTAGACCTTGAAATTTGTAGTATTCCACCTGGATAGTAAACCTTGGCTCCAATCTGAAGTTTTGCAGCCATTACAGGTTTTCCTCCAGGACTGCAATGTTTTAAGCTCTCTTCATCTTCCCATTAACTTTGAGCTTCCCTGTTCAAGTAAAGCATCACAACGAAGTTCTGTCACATCTGTGCTTCACAGAGGGATAATTATTCTTAAAATGATTGTTGTTATTCTGTAAGTTGATAAAAAGAATAGGTCAGCTGGATCATATCTGAGCAAACCACCATCTTCTGCTCATTGCATTGATCTTATTCTTCCAACAATGGCTTTCTGCTTGCTAATTCTAGTCGAGGCCAGTTTGAGTTTGTGCATTACATAAAAAAACAACACATGAAAAAGTGCAAAGCACAATAAACTTATTGGATAATCCCTTTGTGGACCAGTCTCTAGTCATTATTTTCAGTGTTTCCTGTTTTCAGAATACAGAATCTGTATTTACTTCCTGTATGATATACAGGCAATTATGCCTACATGAGTCAGAGATTCAAAAATAAAAATGTTATTTTTTTTATCTTATATTTTAAATCTTTAACCCTAACCCTTCACAGCTGAAAGTTTTGCACAAAAAAAAAAAACAGGAGTTTGTCACATTGTGATCTACTAAGTCCTATTTCAGACTGATGCTGTGGTTAAATAATAGATAAGAAGTTGTGTTTCCATCTGTGATATTTCATTATTTATGTCAAAATTCAATGTTAAGTAAGAGGGCAAAAAATAGAAGTAAAGAGTGGCACTTTTCTGTCCCGAGCTCTGTATGTTACAGTTCACACCACCTCCAGTCTGAGATTAATGTTCTCTTCTGTAAGCCTTTAGTTTGGAAAGCATGTGATACGGCTTTTTGCTGGCCTTTGATTTAAAATGGCAGCCGTGAAGCAAAAATAATAACCCATCAACCAATTTTTTTTTTTATTTTGCTTTCAAGCATTTATTTGATATTTTATTAACAGTTGACGGGTGCTGTTTTATAAACTGCCACTAAAGCTTGTAGATGAAAAATGCTGAGTGCAGCGGCATCGTGCGTCAGATGAGCATCGGCGAGTCTGCAGTTTTTTTGCCCTTTTCCCTTTTTGTTTGACATGTGACGCTCAAATGATAGGCTTGTGCTGGAATCAAGTCATGTAAAGCAAATAGCTCAATGCTTAAAACTGTGCAAGTTTTACCTTTGCTGAAATCATTTAGGAGGTTCCTGTCAGAGTGTTAGATTAAACTGCTCAGTCATTCTATTGAGACAAAAGTCTGTCTTCAAAAGCAATCCAAAACTTGAGCGTTGTTTAGAAATGGTTGCTGGACAGTATTTAAACATGGGAAAGGTAAAAATGTCTGTTTTTTTGTTAAAATTTAAAATTCTGTTATTTACCCTTGATGAAGGAGCATTAGGCAACCAAACAGCTGAGGAAAACCAATATTGAAACTTTGATCAGAACCCCATGATCTTTTAATCAGTACAGCAAGTCATGTATCAATACTCCCTCTTTGTTTCTGTTTGGAGATCTATTGAAGTTTGAACTCTCCTGTATTTATGGTATTTTTTACTCGGGGGAGGGGGGCTCTTTAAAAGTGCCAAAAAAGCCAAAAGGAGTCCATATATTTTCTGACTTAATAATTATCCGTAGCCATCCCTCTTATCTTGGCTGTATTTGACTAATTTGTTACTCTCTGTTTGGTTAAGTGTAACTCATCAAACTGTTAACAATAAATAGAAGTTATGCTTTTTTTATTTTTTATTTTATTTCCATAAGCATCAAGGATTCGATGAAAACAAGTGAAACAAGCTTCTTACATTCGTTCTGCTGAATCATAAACACAAGTCTCGTTTCAGGTGGTGTTTCACAAAATGTCCCCAAACGAGACGTTGTTTTTGGAAAGCACCAACAAGATCTACAAGGATGACATCTCCAGCAGCTCCTTCGTTAACTTCCAGATCTGGGACTTCCCCGGCCAGGTGGACTTTCTAGACCCCACCTTTGACTATGAGATGATCTTCAGGGGAACCGGAGCTCTGATATTTGTGATTGATGCTCAGGTGACGATATTTATTTTAGATTTATTTTCTTTAGGGAGGTTCAGAATTGAGCAAGCATTTTCTTTAAGAAATTTGACATAAAAAACCTGACTTATTGCTATACTTTCTTAGCTTTTTTCCAACTTAATAAGGATAAAAAAACACCCTGTCTTCCTTGTTTTTAATGTATAATGGAAGCTTAATACTGATAAATGGACTCTATGATGAACCTGCCATCCAAATGCTTTTAAGAACTGATCTCAGCTCCATAAAAGCAGCAGCTAAACTGATTGCAGAGTTTGTTTGCGGTTGAGATGCTGCCAGATGAATTGATTCTAGCTGTTTGTACTGGAGCAGCTCAGTTTTCCCCTTGCTGTTTAGAAAATAATGTGCTTTGAAAAAAACTCAACTCACTGTAAAAGAAGGTGAATTATACCATTTAGAACGAGTTCTACTTTTACGACAGAACCTGCAAGTAGCAAACCCATAGAGTCATGCATGCCTGTTTGTTTTTAAGATGATGAAAAATATATTGAATTTAACATTTTAAAGCTGTTCTTATGCTTTGCTATGGCTGACATTCTATTTGTGCAAACCGACTTTTAAAACCACAAATCCTTTGCTTCAGGATGACTACATGGAGGCTCTGGGACGGCTCCATCTCACGGTGTCACGGGCCTACAGGGTCAATCCAGAGATCAATTTTGAGGTGTTCATCCATAAAGTTGACGGCCTTTCAGACGATCACAAGATTGAAACACAGAGAGATATTCATCAGAGAGCCAATGATGATCTGGCAGATGCAAGTTTAGAGAAGCTACATCTCAGGTAAATTTTCTTTGATTGCTGTTACTAGGGATTGATGTACTGTAACTTTCCTCATTATATTAGTTTAAGCTATATTTAAAATAATATATTTATTAGGTTTACAGTCATCAAATCAATTGTAATTAACCTTACTTTGGCTGGGAAACTCTTCAACTTGTGAAATCAGCTTTTGAAATAATCCTTAAAAATTGCACCAAAAGCACTCTGTTGTGATTGCATTATTGCACACATTGATATTGCACCAGAGTTTGAAAGTCAGTATATCACAATAATTTCAGAGGCTTTTTTCTGAGCACAATAGACTTTATTGCTGCTATAGAGGGCTGGTTAAAAGAAGCATTTCAATATCTGACAGAGATATATAATAGACAGTTTTTGAGTCTTTTCTCTTTTTTTAAGGCACTGTAGAAAATCAGCCCTTACCTTAAGTGTTAAACCTGCAGTCCCTAAGCATTTGTTATTTGACTCTTTCTGGAGCGTAAAAATGTTTTTGTCAAATTTAGTACGCTGATTTGGATTTAGCTGTTTCTATCAAAGCAATAGGAATACTTCTTTATTTTCTCATTGATAGAAGCATGTTGTGTAGCCTTTTCAGACGGTTTAGGCTACTTAAACTTATTAGGCATGTTCTCTCTGAATGCCTCCTTGATTCTACAGGACTGGCTGTAATGAGGTTAGGTTATGATTATTGTTGCAGGTAATAGGTTGTGTCAAAAGGGAGTAATAACTTTTTCACATTTATTCTCCTAGCACCATTCCTACTCAATGCCAAAAAGCTTTGCAGAAGCTAAGAGAAGGACGGGACAATATAAACAATGTAGGGCTGAACGATTTGGCCCAAAATCAAAATTGCGATTATTTTCAACCAATATTGCAATTTTATTGCAATGACCAACAATCATAATGGAAGCTTATATCGTTTGGCAGTTTTACTACTTCACTTTTGCAGATACTGGAGCTTTTCTCACCTTTTTAATATTGTTCTAGCTACAATTCTGGCAATTGTGAATAAAGTCAGTTTGTATTGATTGTAACACAAAGGTGTACCTATGAGTAAATAATTTCTTAATTGATGATTCTTGCATCCTTAATCTGGTCAAACATCTAAAATTAACTGTTGCTAATAATCAGTTATTTGTAAACTTAACATCAAACCCAAAGCTAAGCATATCTGCCTTACTTGTAGTTATTATTCTGGAAGAACAGATATAGATATAAGATCTTTAACTCAACACTTACAAAACTACAAAAACTGTCTTTGAGTCTTAAATAAAGATGTGTAATTTAAGGCTGTACTTTCCTTTTTCTTTCTATTTATTTCTTTAATTTTTCACCTTTTAAAAATGGCAGAAGTTGATAAAAGTTGGTCACAACACAGACAAGCAAACAACAAATACAAAATAAAGGAAAATATGACATACTGTAAAATGAATTCTGAAATAAAGTATTTAACAAAAGAAAACAATTTGGGTGTCATTCTGAACAAATAAGGGGCTGAAACTACTTCATGAATCAAAATGAGAGGAATAAAACCTTAAAAACCAATACCAAAACAAATAGGAAAGTATTAGAGAGATAGTAGAAACTAATTGTGTGACTGTTTTTTTTTTTAGCATCAGTTCAAAGAAGAGCTGCAGCATTTTGGACAATTTTTAAACCCTTGAGGGAAGCTTGATTTAGACCAGCGTGCAAACCATTACAGTAATCTAAATTAAGGGTTATAAAAAGCATGAATGGCCTTCTTCAGATGTTTTGAAAGATGAGGCTTGATCTTAAATTATATCTGTTGGTCAGGTAAAATCTGGATCCAATCACAGCATCACACTTAGGACAGCTGTCCAGTATTTTACCTTCATTCCTCAATGGTTATTTTAGATGTAGAGAAGAGAACCAGAACCATCAACTAAACATTTCGCAAAAACACAACTTGCTGCCATTTAATTTTATCCAGGTCTTGATTTCATTCAGGTTGTTTAGTACTTGGGAAATGCGATTACTGTTATTTGATTTAACTGACATGTAGGCCTTGATGTAACCAGCTGAACAATAAAAAGGGACATTGTGTTTCCTAAAAATAGATGCCAGTGTCAGCAGATAAAAGTCGAGCGGTAGGGGAAATAGTATGGACGTTTGAGGGACCCCAAAGCAGAGAGGAACCCCAGTACACAGATCTACACTCTATGCTATAAACATGTTCCACTTCGGATACCAGAATATAACCATTCACAGTATAAAGAACCACAGATAAGTCTAAAGTTACTCGAAAAGGGCTGTGGTGTGATGTACAACCTGAGTAAATTTCCTTCAAACGGAGCCTGGATCTAAAAACTTTACCTGAAACCTTTGAAATGAATGAAAGTTTGCATGCAGACCTGTAGTCCGTTCAACAACACGCTGAAAGCAACTGAAACAAAGCTTGAAGACTGAGAACTGTTAGTCACAGTGAAAACACTCAGAACAACAGTTTCAAACGCTTCTTTGAACAGAGCTGGGATCTAGTCTAAAGGTGGTGCTGTGATGTTTATGTGAAATTCCTCCATAGTCTTCTAATGAAGGGACACTGACCCACGTGTGAGATACTGCAGCAGGCTAACAGTAAAAAACTAACAAACAAAAAAAGGCTGTATTTTTGTCCAAAAGAATACCGGTAGTTTTGATATTAGAACCTCGTGAAAAGAGAAATCTCTCAGCTGTGTGTTCTCCTTTTATCTTTGTCTTTTTAGGATCTAGATATGTGTCTCTACAAATTTTAAACTAATTAAGTCCATGAAGACTAATAGTAACACATCAAACCTTGTAATTTTATATTAGTCTGAATTTATTGTTTTGGCTTTAGAAATTAAAATAGGACAGAATGTATCTTTTATTTCAATGCCTTTGTGTTCAAGTTGACTTTGTAGCCGCTTTCAAAAAATAAAGGAACCTGTTGGCACAGCAGCATGTTTTCAGTTTGGTAAAATTGTCTATTTCTGTTAGACAGCCAGGGCCTTCCTGGAAATATGATGGAGCAAAAAAGATCTATCTTTTTGCAGAATCACATTTGCAGCCCTGTCACTGCAGACAACTCTTTCTGGTTAAACAGGCTCTCGCTAATAGGTTTTTCTTTTTTTTTTTACGTACATTTCTGTATCCAAGGCCCATTCATTGTGCAGATTTCTGCTGCTGGTAAAAATATTCAGTTTTTGGCAGTTTTATTTTTTTCTCCTATTAGCTAGAAATCAGATCATCCATCTGTTTTCTCGTGTAATCTTGTATTTTAACCGTTTTGGTGATCATTTTAAGAAAGTGTCTTTATTTCCCTCTCATTTAGCTTCTATTTGACAAGTATTTATGACCACTCCATCTTTGAGGCCTTCAGCAAAGTGGTGCAGAAGCTCATCCCCCAGCTCCCCACTTTGGAGAACCTTCTAAATATCTTCATTTCTGTAAGTAGAAAACTCCGCAGCTTTCCTCTGTGTTCCTGGTTGGGATTTAAACGTGGTATTCTTTATGATTGAAGTCTCTGCTGAATGCCAGGATATGATTGTGTATGCTTTTCTTTTGATTCTTCTGAAAAAATGACCTAATGATGACATACAATTATAAAACTTTTAATTTGGTTTAGTTGATCAGAGAAGTAACTTCTCAAACTTCTTTTTATCACCTTAGCTAATCTCTAGGATATCACATTAGCACACTATGAGTTCTGCAAAAGGTTAAGAATCTCAGCAAATCCAATTTAAGCTTGTTCCACATCAGAGAAAGGTAATCACCTCTTAAGGATAAAACAGATCAACTTTGCTATACTTCATTCAGTCTTTCCGCTGTTTGCTTCAAGTTTGCATCTGTGTCGGTGTCCTGTAGCCTGAATTAACTTAAAACATGCCGCTACATGTGTTAGAGGACTGTTGTTTTTTGATTACGTTTTTAAAATCTTCGCTATATACTTTCTGCCTTCTCCACTCACTAAGCAACAAACACTGACGAGATCATTGCTCTATGATTGATTGAAAAAAATCAGCTGATTCCTGCTGATAGCTGATCTCTCTGTGCATCCTGACTAACATGTATAGAAAAACAATGTGAATAAGATTTTTTTTTTCTCCTGCTTGTGAGGAGGAACAGTGTTTCTTTATCATAGTCAGCTGATTGTAAAGATTTAGCTTATCTCCTACCAAAGCATTTGTCCCTGGAAAAACATATGACCCTCTTTATGTGATGGTAGAATTCAATGAGCTTCATCTTCCTTCATCAGTAAAGCTTTTATAGTTTGTAAATTCCCAAATCTAATTTTGAAAACCTCTGTTGTGAAAACTTTCTATTTTCCTTGGTTCTTTGTTTTGAAAACCGATAGACTACTTGAAGAATACATGTATTGTATGTAGGATAATTTGCTATAGATCCTTTAGTTAACATTAGTAGGCACTTTCCACTGCTAGTGATGCCATTCTGCTGCTTTGGGTTTCATTTTTAAACCATTAATTTTTTTCCTATTTGCTCCTTCCAGAATTCAGGGATTGAAAAAGCCTTTCTGTTTGACGTGGTCAGTAAGATCTACATCGCCACAGACAGCTCGCCTGTAGATATGCAGTCCTATGAACTGTGCTGTGATATGATAGATGTGGTGATTGATGTCTCCTGTATATATGGGTGAGTATGTTTCCCTTGCATTGAAGACATTAAGATACATAGTGGAGTGAATCCATGTTTTGTGTACTTAAGCTCAGCTCAGTAATTTACGTGTTTTTGTCTTATGATAGTTTGAGGGAAGATGGCAGTGGCAGCGCCTATGACAAGGAGTCCATGGCAATCATCAAGCTCAACAACACCACTGTGCTGTACCTCAAAGAGGTCACAAAGTTCCTCGCTCTGGTCTGCATCCTGAGAGAGGAGAGCTTTGAGCGTAAAGGTAAACAGGCAGCAGACAGATTTCAAAACCAAAGCACTTCCACATATTAATAAGGTTTAAGAGAGCATGGCTGCTGAAAAGGGGGACAACCGGATCAGTTGTAGCGGGCCAAAGGTAAAGGAGGGGCCCCTGAACCAGGCCCCTCCATATATGGCCAGGAAGATTTAATTTTATTTTTGCAAAGAAATAGGACATGCAAACCTCTCCTATTATTACCTTCTTTTTATCCACTGCAGTACTGGGGAAGTACCCCCACCTGCCATTCCTTGTAAATGGTTATGCTGCTGGCGCATCAGTAAAGTTTGTCAAGCTGCTCTGCTAAAATACACAAGGTTGCTGCACTGCAGCTGGAGACCACTAACAATATGATAAGGCATTAACTCCAATGGTAAATGGCATGTACTTATATAATACCTTTATTCAAGTCAGGAGACTTGACCAAAGCGCTTTACACTACAT